GTTTTCTATTTGCCAGGCACAGTGATGCACACCTATAATCCCAGCGGCTTGGCAGGGTGAGGCAGGGGGATCGCAAGTTCAAAGCCAGCCTCAGCAAAAACAAGGCACTAAGCAACTCAGTGTGACCCTGTCTCTAAAGAAAATACAAAAAAGGGCTGGGGATGTAGCTCAGTGGTTGAGTGGACCTGAGTTTATTTCCTGGTAACCCCCCCCAACCAAAAAATGCATTCTACTGTCATGCATAACTAATTAGGACAAATTTAAAAAGACAAAAAAGAAATATACATCTAAAAACTAGAAATACAAGGTTTATTAGCCCTCAATTTACCTAGCCGATCTTTTTCTGCTTCAAGACTGAGGCCAAATTTTCAGTGATATTCACAGCATCCTGTTTTCAGGTCCTTGGAGCAGCTCCTGGAATTTTTTGATCATTATCCTGTACCTTTCAGGAACAGTGGAAGGCAGGCATATAGCCCCACCATGAGACTGCCCCTGGGAACAGGAAGATCACCTCTTGGGATTGAACTGCCCCCTTCCAGGATCACAGGTATGAGAGAGAAATATCTTGAACAGCAAGTGGATAATTACCCCCACTTCAAGCAATAAGGACTTCTCCAGAGCTACCTCATAAAATCAGAAATAAAATAATAATCAACCAGACCAGTTTGACCACTGCTTAGTTACGCATACCTCTTGCCTCCATCTCAATAGGACTGAAATGTTGCATCTTACTTTACCATCCCAATATGGCCATATTGAGTAAAGTTCTTATCCTGTTTTCATCATTATTTTTCTGTTTGTTTTTTGGAGTGAGTGTCTGGACCTAGTTTGTTGGGACCTCAAGAGTCAGACCTCTGATCTAAGATTCAAGTACTAGGATACCTTCAAACAAGATATTTATACTCTACTTTTAGGAAGAAAGGGGAAAAGCAATTGGTGTCTACAATTTCTAATTTGTTTCTTTAGCTCAAACATACCTCATGCCAAAGTGACTATTATAGTTAGCTTTTTGTAGTCGTGACTAAAATATCTGACAAGAACAACTTAGAGCAGGAAAAGTTCATTTGGGGCTCATGATTTTAGAGGTTCAGTTCATGGTCAGCCTGCTACATTGCTTTGGGCCTAAGATGAGGCAGAACATCATAGCAAAAGAAAGGTGCTGTGGAGCAACGTTGCTCACTTCATGGTAGCCTGGAATCATAGAGAAAATAGAAGGAGCCAGGGACAAAAATACATAATCCCAGAGGTATGTATATCCCAGGGACCCACTTCCTCCAGCCATGTCCCACTTGCCTAGTGACCACAGTAATCTATTCAAATCACTAATCCAGCAAATGGATTAACCCACTGATTAGGTTAACAGTCTCATAATCCAATCATTTCACTTCCTGCATCAACTCAGGATCTGATCTTCTTCAGTATCCAACAATACCCAGAAACTGAAAGAGCTGGTAAGGAAAGCAAAAAAAACAATTTTTGGAGATACCCTTCTGTAGGGTTTGCTCAAATTTGGATCCTCAGACATATTCTGAGAACTTGTAGAATTTTTTTTTCCTTTTTCTGCTTTACTTTCCCGTTTTACAAAAATTAAGGTAGAATACCCATAAGATTTACCATTTTAGCATCCACATTGCTGCCTGTCCCCCAGCCCGCTGATTTTTTTTTTTTTTTTGTGGTGCTAGGGATTGAATCCAATGCTACATGCATTCTGGGCAAGGGCTCCACCACTGAGCTACGCCCCCAGCCCCATATCAGCCATTTTTAAGGGTACAGTTTCAGAGCATTAATTACATGCAATTGTTGTGCAATCATCACATCATCTACCTCCAGATCTTTTTTCATCTTGTAAAACTGAAACTCTATACATATTAAACACTAACTCCCCATTCTCCTCTTTCCAAGCCTCTAGCAACCACCATTCTATTTTCTTTCTCTGTAAATCTAACTGCCCTACGCACCTTATGTAACTTGGATTAGATAGCATTTGTTCTTTTGTGGCTGTGTTGTTTTACTCAGCATAAATTATAACCTTAAGTTTGTTCCATTTGAAGCATGTGTCAGAACTTTCCACCTTTTGAAGTTCAAGTAATATTCTATTTTATTTTCTATATCACATTTTGTTCCTCCATTCATCCACTGATGGACACTTGTGTTTCTTTCAACTTTTCGCTATTGTGAATAATGCTGCTATGAATGTGCTTGTACAAATATCTGTTTAAAGTTCTGCTTTCAAGTTTTTTGTATATACCTGGAAGTGAAATTCCTGGGTCATACTGAAATTCCACTTATGATTTTTTGTGAGCAATACTGTTTTCCCTAGTAGGACTGTGCCATTTTACATTCCTTCCAGCAGTGCACAAGGGTTACAATTTCTCCACATTTTTGCTAACACTTATTATTTTCTGGTTGGGGTTTTTTGTTTTTGTTTGTTCGTTTACTTTGGGGTATTGAGAATTAAACCTTGGGGCATTATACCACTGAGCTACATTCCCAGTCCTTTTCTTCTTTTTTATTTTGAGACAAGCTTTCACTAAATTGTTGAGGCTGGCCTCAAACTTGCAATTCTCCTGCCTTAGCCTCCCAAATCTCAGGGATTACAGGTTGTGCTGCCACCACGGCCTCCTTTTTTGTTTATAACAGATATCCTAACTTTGTAAAGTGGTATCTCATATGGTTTTGATTTTCATTTCCCTAGTGATTAGTGATGTTTCACCTCTTTTCATGTACTTGTTGGCCCATGTTTATCTTTCTTGGAGAAATGTCTCTTCAAGTTTGCCCACTTATTGTTGCCCCCACCCTTTTCTTTTAAAGGGAAATAATGCATTGCCCTAAAAGTTTAAGAAATACTGCCAGTCTGCCTCTTCTTCTGGAGATAGCCCACATTCTCCCTTGAATATGTTACCTACTTATCTAAATAAACCAGTTTCTATGCCTTTGTGGGGGACATAACTAACTGCCATCCAAATCCTAGAGATAAATCTGTTGCATATTGACTTTAATTTTGTTGCAAATAATGTCATCATTACAGGTACATAATCACTCCTTAAATTTTAAATTTGAAATGTTTAATTTTAAAAATTGCTACATGTGAAGTATAATTCACATCACCCCCCCCCCAAGTGTACATAAGAGTACAGTTTGGATTTTCACAGACACGTGTAACTAGCACCAAGACCAACAGAGAGAACCTTACAAGCATCCTAGAAACCCCTCTTCCAGTAATTAACCCTTCCAATCACTATAGCCTATCCGCCAAGGTAACCATTACAGTAATTTTCAACAGCTTCATTTTTCTCCTGTTGATGTCTTAATTTCCTCCTCTGACATGTCTTAAATTTGATTACAAGGGCCAGAGGATAGAGTTGGGAAGAGATATGGCAAGTTAATCAGTTAATATCTACTGGCCAAAATCAGTAAGACTGCTGCACATTCCTGAATGAATGTTGAGATCTTAACCCAAAACCCAAGGCAAACCATGCCTATAATTCCAACTACTCTAGAGGCTACGGCAGGAGGAGCACAAATTCTGGGTTGGTCTAGACAACTTAGTGTGACACTGACTCAAAATTTTCAAAAATTTTGAGGGATGGACTCAAAGGTAGAGCATTTGCCTGCATGTAGAAGGCCCTGGGTTCAATGCTTAGTACAAGAAGCAAGGGGAAAATAAAACAAAGAAAGTCCCAAGGCAGTTAGTTGATCACCAGGTCTCACCAATTCTCTTACAAATGGATTTCCCAGGTTATTAACTCCAACCAATCCAGAAGCAACAAGTACTTTTCTTTATGGACTGTTTTCCTATCTTAAAACTTTCTCTGTTTTGTTAAATCACTTCTCTTATGTATAGGCAATGTAGGTTCAACATAAGCTATTAATGCTTTTCTTTCTCAAATTTTCATTTTTTAAATGCCCTTGGCTCTTAGTTCCAGCAGACATATTTTCAACCGCTGCTGGTTGTTGGGGATCTTTTCCCAGGACTGGGTCCTTTTTTTTTCTGGCTGATATCTGCAATGGCTCAATAAGCCCTTTTATTTCAGAGAACCCATAGTCTCAAGAACTTTGACTTAACAATAGGGAGGGGGGAAACGTTAGTATGTACTTTTGTGTCTAAATTTTTATACTCAACTTTGGGTTTCCATCGTTCCTCCATGCTGTTGCCTATAGTTGCAAATGGTTCTTTGCATTGCCATGTAGTGTTCCTGTGAACATTGTGAGAATCTGTTCACTTACTGTTGATGGTCTTTTGAGATACTGACCTTTGGGCCTATTACAACAAATGCAGCTATGAGCATTCTGATACTTGCCTGTCGCTGCACCTGTAAATACATTTCTCTCAGCTGGAAGTGTAGGGTCTGAATGGCAGGGTCAAATATGCACCCTTAGCGAATAGTGTTTGTTTCTCAATTATTATTCCACTTTACATCCAAGGAGTAAGGTAAAATAATTCAGTTACTTGCAATAACTTCAGATACTCGCCAACACTAGGTATTTTCCATCATTTTTTTCCTATTTTATTTGGAAATTAGAGGCAACTGGGACAAGTTTGGTTGCTTTTTGCAGGACCTCTTAGCTTGGGAGTTGGTTTTCTGAATTACTAACTAACTCAGGCTTCTACCTCGTTCAGCCAAATCCTGTTGGCTGTGAGTGCATTTTCACTTTGCTTGACAGTTTTATTCACTCTGCTACTTGGATGTCTCCAACTCAAGAAAATAGGTGTGCACTGGGGGCGAGGAAAGAGCTTTGAGGACTCCGGAGTCTGATCGTAGTTTCGGTAAACTTATGCGAACCTTCTTCGTTTGAGTTCTTTCTTCCAGACCCTAGGGCTAGCAAATCCTTCTCATCTCTGGAGTTCTGGGTATACGCGGCCGGCCAGGAGACAGGGATCCCACTGCAGCCGCCCACTCCACCACCAGCCGGTGCAGGGGTGGGGCGGGGCACGGTTTGGCGCGGAGCATGCGCAGAACAAGCCCGGCGCATGCTCCACAGTGCGGCGGGTCCACAGTTGAGGGGAGTCGAGTCTCCCGCGCCCCGCCATCCCTGGTGGAGCCACCGCTTAGCCATTCGATCTGAGACCTCAGTGCTAATAAAGTTAGTTTAAAATCCATAGTCATTTTTAAAAGAGAGAAAGAAAGTGCGAGGCAGTCGGGCGGCCCCCCTGGGGAGCTGGCGCGTTGGGAGGCGGTGGCGGTTGCGCCGCGACCAGGAGGAGCCGGTCGCGCCGGCCGGCGGGTCCGCTGCTGGCGAGGGACGGTGAGTAGCGGCTCGCGCTCCGGGGTAGCGTCGCTGCGCTCATCTGCCCTCTCCAGGGCCGCCTGAGGTTCTCGGCCTCCGCTGGGGAAGGACCCGCTTCTCTTGGGGTCCGGGGAAGCGCCTTGCGCCGAGCTGCGGAGAGGGGCGTGGGGGCAGGGGCCTCCAGGCCCGGCTCCCATCCCCCCCTGCTGAACAGAGCCCAAGTTTCTGGGAGGAGGTGGGGGGCCCGGCGCCCATTCTCAGTTCTCAGCGGTCGGATCTGTGTGGGCGGCGGTGCCAGAGATTACCTTGTGGGCGGGAAAGAGTGGGGTGGAGCGAGGCGCCGTCTCCCCACGTCCATCCCTCCGGCTGGCTGAGCATCCAGCTTCTTGCAGTTCCCCAGCCCCAAATGGAGAAAGGGGTGGCCCAGCCGGGCGACGCACCAGCGGGGGACCTAGAGTGCCGGGTTAGGTTTGCGCGGGAAGAGGGTCCCAGGTCTGCCCTGGCTGGGCTTTCAGACCCCTAGTCTCCCCGCAGTGGGGGCCCCTCCTTAGCTGCGGCCCCACCCTTCCCTAGTTTCTCGCTCCAACTGCTAGAATATGAATGAGCCAGACTGCACTGTTTCATTGACGCTGGCTGCCACAGAATTTCTTTGCTCAGAGATTTAACTACCGTAGTTTCCAAGAATATGTACCCGAGTGTGAGAGAGTTAAGAATCAGGAGCTAGTGAAGTGGCGGTGGGGTCCAAAGTAGGCTATTTACTTCTCTAGTTTTTACATAACTTTCTAATATGTTATGTTCTAGGTAACTTCATTGACTCTAGGAAGTTTTTAATTACAAGTTATTAACGAAAAAACACTTTTTGATCAGAGTTGACGCATCCTTTTCATTTCTAATTAATTGTTTGGCCAATTAATTTTAAAATTAAGTTTGTAGGGAAAGGGTACTTACATAAAAGCATTACTGTCAAGGTTTTAATTATACTCAGAATTCGGCTCTTCTAAGGACATTGTTTTGATGTAGGGTTTTAAGTTTGTAGTGACTGAAAAATCTCTAGAGTTATGTTAAGATCTGCTTTCATTTTTTTCTTTCAATTTTATTTTTGAAATTTATGGTAAAATTGACTTTTGAGGAGGATGTACAATTATGTGAATTTTAGATTCATGTAACCACTACTACAGTCAGGACATAAAGCAGTTCTACCACCACACACACAAAAAATCATGTTATTCCTTTATATCTCACTCCTTACCCCTAACTCCTGTCAATGACTGTTCTTTTCCAGAATGTCATTTAAATTGAATCATTAGTCAAGGTCTCCCTGCAGGCTGGTCTTTGAACTCCTGGGCTCAAGTGATCCTCCCATATCTGACTTTTGTCAGTAATTTTAACTTTTCCACTATACCTGAAATCACTTGAGCCTAGACATTTTTTTTCTGAGTTTTTTTAAAATATATTTTTAGTTGTAGATGGACACAGTATCTTTATTTTATTTGTTTGTTTGTTTTTATGTGGTTCATGGAATTGAACCCAGTGCCTCACCCATGCTAGGCAATCGCTCTACCACTGAGATTTGGTAAGTTGTAAAGTTATACACTCAGTTGTGTAGTGGTATCTCATTGTGATTTTAATATGGCTTTAACCAACGCCCAAAGATGTTGAATGAGACCTTTTGATACTGCTTCTTTCACTAACCATGATGCTCTGAGATCCCTCCCAAGTTGTTTCATGTTAGGATAATTTTTCTTCTTTCTTTTGTGGTATTGGAGATTGAACCCAGGGTCTGGTGAACTGAGTTACATCTCCAGCACCCCCATCTTTTTTTTTTCTTATTGGATACAGGGTCTCAAATTGCCATTGTTGGCTTTGAATTTATGATTTGCACTACCACCACATCCATCAATTATTAACTCTTTCCTTTCTCCCTTCCTTCCAAGTAGTATTTCCTTAGCTTGATATGTCACATTCATCTACTCATTTATACATCCATCCATTAAAGAACATTTAGGTTGTTTTCAGTTTTAGACAGTTATGAATAGAGCTGCTATAAATACATGGTACAGATTTTTATGTGAACTTTTCATTTTTCTAGGGTAATGCTACCTGTGAGATTTTAGGATTATATAGTTAATCTATGTTTAACTCATTGACTGTCAAACCATTTTCCAGAGTGGCTGTGTCATTTTGCAATCCCACCAGCAAAAGGTGAGAATTCTAGTTTCTCCACATCCTTTCACATTTTTCCCAGTACTTGACACTGTCTTTTTTTTTTTTTTTTAAGGAAGGTGTCCCTGCAGGCTGGTCTTGAGCTCTTGGGCTCAAGTGTTTCTCCCATGTCTGACTTTTGTCAGTAATTTTAACTTTCCCAGTCTGAAATCACTTGAGCCTAGACATTTTTTTTCCTCTGAGTTTTTAAGTTGTAAAGTTATACACTCAGTTGTGTAGTAGTATGTCATAGTGGTATCTCATTGGCTTTAACCAATGGTCAAAGGTGTTGAATATCTTTTGACATGTTCATTTGATATGTATACCCTTTTGGTGAGTTATGTAGCCAAGTCTTTTGCCCAATTTTGAGTTGTTTTCCTATGTTGAGATTTGAGGATTCTTTATATGTCTGGTTACAAATTTTATGTCATGTGTTTTGCAAATGTTTTCTCCCAGTCTTTAGTTTGTCTTTTTGTTATTGTGACGATTTTAATGTTACTGAAGTCCAGTTTATAAGTTTTTCCTTTAAATGTGTCTTTTGGGCATTATGTCCAAGAACTCTTTATCTAACACCAGGTCAAGAAAATTTTCTTCCTTCTAAAAAAATTTGTTTGTTGTTAAAGTTAACAGTTTTACATTTAGCTTTGTGATTCATTTTGAGTTGTTTGTGAAGTTTAGATGAAACTTTTACTTTTTTGCATGTGGATGTATAATTGTTTCATCACCATATTTTGAAAGACTCTCTTTTCTCCATTGAATTGCTTTTCCCACCTTTGTCGAAATCAATTGGTTGTTTTTGTGTGGATCTATTTTGAGCCCTCTGTTCTGTTGCATTGATTAATGTACTTTCCCTTTGCCAGTATCACACTTTCTTGATTAAGTTAGGTTTACAATGTCTTTAAATTAGGCATTATGATTTCTTCCAATTTTCTTTCTTTTTAGCTATTTTAGTTCCTTTGTCATTCCATATAAGTTGTAAAGCTAGCTTGTCTGGGAAATCTTGTTGATACTTTGATTGGAACTGCATTAAATCCATAGAGCAATTTGAGAATTGCTGGTTTTTTTAACATTTATTTTTTAGTTATAGGTAGACACAATATCTTTATTTTTATGTGGTGCTGAGGATCAAACCCAGTGCCTCAAACATGGTAGGCGAGCACTTTACCTCTGAGTCACAACCCCAGCTCCAAGAATTGCTGTTTTTACTTTGTAGAGTCTTCCAATCCATTAACATGTTTTGTCATTCTATTTATTATTTAGTAGTGTTCTGTAATTTTCAGTATACAGATAGTGTATGTTTTGTAGTTTTTAGTTTTTTTTGTAATTTTTAAAAATTTTGGGAGCTTTTATAAATCTGATATTTTAAATTCTGCTTTCAAATTGTACATTGTTAATATATAAAAGTATAGTTAAATTTTATGTGTTGCCCTTGTATCCTGTGACCTTGCTAAACTCAGTAATATTAGTTGCAGGGTGTTTTGTTTTCTTTTGTTTATTGTTTTGTAGATTCTTTGGATATTTCTACAGAGATAATCCTGTCATTTGTGAATAGAGACAGTTTTATTTATTTTCTAAATTTTWAAAAAAAATTTGTTGGCTGTTGCGCTGGTTAGGATTTTGTGTATGATATACAGTAGTGAGAGTGAACTTCCTTACCATGTTCCCAGTCTAAGGGAAAAGCTATTAAGTCTTTGAGAATTAAGTATGATGTTAACTGTAGGTTTTATGTTTTCAGTGCTCTTTATTGGGTTGAAAAGTCTTATGGATTCTAGTTTGCTGGGAGTTGTCCCCCCCCCCCAAAAGGATGTTAAGTTGATATTGTGATGCATTTCCCACCGCCCCCCCCCCAGCCTAATGTGGTGTATTACATTAACTAATTTTCAAATATTAAACCAGCTTCCTTTCCCAGAATAAAGCCCATTTGGTTGTGGTGTATTGTTATTTTTATATTACTCAATTCACTTTAATATTTTGTTGAGAAATTTGCATCTTTGTTCATAAGAGGTTATTTGTCTATTTTTCTTTTTGGTACTTTTGTGTGGTTTCAAGATAATGTTGGCTTCATAGAATGAATTGGGAATTGTTTCTCTCCTCTGTCTATTCTGAAAGAGATTTTTTGTCATTGGTTTTAATTTTTCAAATGTATTATGAGGTTCTCCTTTGAAATCTCCTGAGTTTGAAGATTTTTTTTCCCTGAGTTTTAAAGTTACAAATTTAATCTCCTTTATAGTTATAGAACCATTCAAATAATCTTATTTCTTATTGTGTAAGTTGTGGCAGTTTATACTTTTTGATCTCCATTTCATGTAGGTTGTCAGATACATACATGTGTGAAGAGTTGTTTATTTTTATGTCTGAAATTGTATTATATTTGAAATATCTTTCTGGCCTCTGCCATTTCATCCTTGATATTGGTAATTTGTGTCTGCTTTTTTTTTCTTTATTAATCTTGCTAAAGATTTGTCATTTTTATTGAACTTTTTCCAAAATTAGCTTTTAGTTTCTTTTAAATTTTATTAATTTCTGTTCTTTATTATTTTCTTCCTTTTGTTTGATTTGGGTTTTTTTTGCCCTTTTTCTGTTTTCTTGAGGTGGGAGCTTAGATTGGTTTTTGAGTTACTCTTTTCTAAGGTAACTCTGAAATCTGTTGTATCTTACACATTTTCATATGTTGTTCTCTTATTTTTATTTAAAAAAATGTTTGTAACTTCTCTTTAGATTACTTTGGTCCATAGAGAAGTGTGTGTTTCTGGTTTCAAATGTCTGGAGATTTCCCTGTTACTTTTCTGTTAGTGATTTCTAGTTTGATTTCATTGTGGTCAGTGAACACACTCTATATTGAGGGAAGTTGGTGAAAGTTTTGCCTTTCTAATAGGCATCTTCTAACACTACCCCAGCAAGGAAAGGGACATAAAGGTGAATAGAGATGACAACTGCTGGATGGGGTGGATGTCTAGGCTCCCCATATGATGGTGGTTTGGGGTTGAGGGTCCCTTCATGACCTCCCAATGGGAATGAAAGTGGTGGCTCTTCAGTTGATCTTCTCTGATATCACCTCATGGGGGAATTAGGTCACATCATTATATTTCTCACAAGAGTATGTTTTCTGTCTTGCTCTTGCTAGGCTGCACTTTTTCTGGTACTTTAGCTAAAAAGAGTATACTTTTGTTGGGTCTTTTTTTTATTAGCATTTCTTGGTTATTGGTGCCTCCATAATCCAGTCTGAGATATATGAGAAACTCAAGGAAAATTCACTACTTTGTTCCTTGTATCCTGTGGTCCATAGCCAGGTACATAGCCAATCTTCCTTCTTCTTCTTCTTCTTCTTCTTTTTTTTTTTTTAAGAGAGAGAGAGAATTTTTAATATTTATTTTTTAGTTTTCGGCGGACACAACATCTTTGTTTGTATGTGGTGCTGAGGATCGAACCCGAGCCGCATGCATGCTGCACGCATGCCAGGTGAGC